TGTATGCAAAAGTTTATGTAGGCATATAAATCGAAGTAGTAGGCATATAAATAGAAGTATTTTGGCGTTGGCGAATTCATTTCTAGTCAAATTTTGATTTAAAAAGTTCTAAAAGGCGCGCTACCCTTTGCTACCCTACCGCTACCCTTTCAACTACTCGCTACTGTTTGTACTGCTACCCTTTATCAACTGTATTTTAAGTTTAAATTTTCATTTTACGTGGAACATATTAATTAAATCTAACTAATAATAGAAATTTTATTAATTTCTCTTTAAAAAAAACAAATTTACCCCAAAAGTAACCACATATACATAATTATATGCATATTACACACATATACATAATTATATACATTTACACACACACGCAATTTATTTATTAAAATTTTTTTTTTAAATTTGTTTATTGTATATATATATATATATATATATATATATATATATATATATATATATATATATATATATATATATATATATATATATATATATATATATATATATATATGTATTTATTTTTTAATTATGGTTTATTAATTTTTCTTTGTTTTCTTTTCGTTTTACAACATTTATTTATATGTATAAATACTCGTATTATAATAATAAGAATTGTTAAGGATGACATATGTTTTAAACATAATGTACAAATAAAAAAATATCAAGAAATAACAAAATATCTAGAAAATAACAAAATACAAAAAAATATCAAGAACCAAATTTCGTAAGAATGTATAAAAAAAACTTGTTAAGTTTACCTAAAAATACTTTCTAAAATACTATTTTTATAAAAACATAAGATAAGAATCCGATATACCATTAAATATTATTTAATATATTTATTACATGACATGAGCAAGTCTATCTTTAAAATTGATTAGACGACCAACATGTTTCTACTGACGATAAAGTGGCAACAATTTAGATTTAGTATTACCCCAGGAAATGTTGGCATAATTTAAACGGCAATGAATAAAAGAGAAATATAATTGTATTAAAATGGGCTTATTTAAAATATTTCTTGCTTCATATATTACTTACAACTTATTCATTTTAAACCTACCACAATTTTTTTTTAACTTTGTTCATATTTTAAAACAATGTTATTATGCATTATGAGATAAAAAGAGATTAGCATTGTGAACAAACGTGACGTCATTAAATTTGTGGCTTTACGTGAATAGTTAATGTAAATAAAAAAGATAAGGGTTCATAGAATAGAAGCCTGAGGGACTCCTCAAGTTAAACCTAATAAATCGGACGAAAAAAAAATAGTTAAAATTCTATCAACGAACTGTTTACGGTAAATAACTTTTAAGTAGCTTTAAAACGTTTTTTTGACTCCATAGTTTTTTTTTAATAATATTTTGTGATAAATAGTATCAAAACCTTTTAACAAGTCAAAGAAAACTTCTATCATTTATTGAGATTTCTCAAAAGATTTAGCAATGATGCAGGTAATTTGGAGTATTGTTATATATACCTCAAAACGTTACCGATTACTGGGATATATGGTCAATACCAACAATTTTTGTTATAATTGCTTTATTGCTACCACTTTCATTTTTATTTTATCGACCAAAATATTGATTTGCTATTTAAAGCGTGGTTTGACTTGGCTTGGATATTTTCAAGCAACTTGCGTTGCTTGAAAATATCAGCTTTTAGGGTATAAACTATTGTCAAAATGCATAAAAATAATCATAAAAAGTTAAAAAGTTTTTATAAAGATACCTAGATTAAAATATTTAAAAATTTAGAAAAGATAACTAAAATAATTGAAAAATAAAATATTTTGAGTGCCATTTAGAGGAAACTCTTATGAAATGGAGAATAATTCTCTGAAGTGCAGTGAAAATCTTTTTTAGGAATGTGTCATCAACTAAAATCTTATCTAAATTGTCAACAAGTATAACAAATGTCATTTACTTAAATAATTGATTTCTTTTAACGAAAGAATTATTTAAAAAATATTTCATTGCAATTTAAGTAATTATTTTTTTGATTTTAATTATTTGAAATTAATAACATTTGTAGGTATATTAATGGATTGTTATCCAATACAAATTCAGGTTAAATTTTGTGAAAGGTATAGATTGATTTAGTAAAGTTGGATTTAATGAACTGCCACAATGCCAAATCAAGCAAAGATTCACTATGAAAATTTAAAATTTGTGTGTTTCCTCCGTTTAAAAAAATGTTTAAAAAAAAAAGACAGCTTACGGCTTTCCAAACTGATCAAATATGCCAAATGTACGAGACAAGATGAAAATGAAGTTATAAGCCTTTGTTTAAATTTAACTCAATATAAGTGAGACCTGAAATAAGAGGCACGATGTTTTATTGCCTAATATGTCAAACTAATTGATCAAAGATGAAAAAAAAAAATCTTCTTTTAGTGCAAATCATCATTGAGAAAGAAACGAGTATACGTTGTAATACATGTCTCTGCCCTTTAGGAAATGGTTTTTCTAAACATAGCCTTAAATAAAGTTAAGAAAAAACCGCCAATCTTTAAGATACAAGAGCAGCAAACAAATCGCACGTCGAGTTATTTCTAATATAGAATTACCCCCTGAAGAAACTATTTGACTTACTAAAGATTCTAGCGGGCCTTTACTTACAATTTCCCTAAGTAAATTTTTAAACTTATGTAATTTTTACATATGTATATAAAAAATAATTTTTAAAGAAGAAGAAAAGATTTTGTGAAGTATTTTTTTACGAAGTTTCTAATCACTTTAAAAACGAATAGCTTGAAAGTTTTAAACTTTATGAACAAAGTTTATTTGAATAGAAAAATACAAATTTAAAAATGTGTAATTTTAGTTTCAGGTCAAAGAAGTATTCAGCCACTAATATAAGCGCTCCAAAATGACCACTGACTAATCTAGCTTTTTTAAATGTACAATTAAATACGGGACCATCAAACAACAGGTAAAGAAACTGGTCTGAACTGTAAACCAAACATCAAGTAGCCAAAACGTTATAATAATTTCTTAAGAGCACTTGAGTGAATTCATTTCCTGCAGTGACTTAAAAGCTACCGACGTAAAAAACGAATCTGTTGTTGATGTTGATCACTGCAATGATTTATCAATTCTTATGAATCATGTTATTCAATCTCGCAAAATTTCTGGTTGCTATTTTGTGACGCTCGGGATTGATCAGTGGGGCTAAAAATGGAGTCGCAACTCCTTATAAGAATTGGCAATTATCTTTTCAAGATACTTAAAACTGCTTGGATAGAAGCTTTTAATTAGCCAGCTAACCTCCACATTCAACCGAGCCCGTATCAAGGGGCCAGTTCAAGGGATATAATTACAGGAAATTTTTCAAAAATGTGGTTTTGCTCCCGCAACTTGATGATTCAAACTCAGATCCCAACATTCTTTACATAATTAAAGCATTCAAATGTTTCAATTTAGTTATAAAAGTTTGCTTTGGACCACAAATACATAATATCCTTCAGCCAGATTTTGCTGAAATTGAAAATTTCAAAAAGTGTTACTTAATGATAACTGGTGCATACGTAACACCCAAAAATCACACCCTCTTCTATCATATCAAAGATTTTTTCAGTCGCAAAGTATCCCCCTCAAAGCCCTATTGTGAACAAACTGTCAAAACTGGTCATTAAGACTTTTATAAACAATACTCAAGGTATAAACGAAACAATAATTATCCTAAGTACAAAGAAAGACTGTTATGCTGCATAACTGATCTTAACAGTAAGCATCTTTAAAAAACTACTACCATTCAATTTATTAGATTAGGCAGCAGAAAATCTTAGCTTACGGTTTATACTGAACATTTTAACCATTTTAATCTTTAGAGGCTGTTAAGGATTAAGTGATTAATTAATTTTTAAGGATTAATTTTTAACTGCTTTTAGTAATTATAAATTTTAATATTGCAACAGTAATTATAATTTTAATATTGCTATATTAATATTAATATAATTAAAATATTTGAGTACTTGACCAAAAGAGCATATTAAGTTTGGAAATTTTTTTTTTGGAAAATCCAATAAGATGTCTTACAATTTAATTAGATTTTATTAAATCTATTTAAATTGTAAGACAATGTAGTATAATGTAAAAAATAGAGTTTATAAAGTTATTTTTCACTTCATTTTGAAAGCCAATACATTTAAGTAGGTTTCAAGGGCCAATAAAATTTAGCAGAAACTTTTTTTTGTTTCTTTTACCAACTGATAGTTTTACCAACTGATAGTAACTTTTACCAACTGATATTAAAACCCAGGTTTTGCACATTTTTAATTTTTATCAAATTATAGTTGTTCTCATTCTGTTGTTATTGTCGCACTATAAAGTCAAAGTTTCACTTAATTTGAACAATCAAATTAAATTATTTTTCGCGGACAAAATGAAAAGATTTTAAAATTTGCATCACAGGGTACCTTGATGTGTACGCCATCACTCCATATAATTGGTGTTCTTTGGTCAGCTTGGTTGGAATTATTAGGATTCCTGCTTGCCGTGTATTCTAACGATACTAACTTGTTGTTCAATCACTCCAATATAAATACTCTGTTTGGAACTTTGAACTCAAAAAGTTTTATCTCTGGTTTAAAGCCTATCTAGAAGCTAATTAGAGACTTTATTAGCAGAAGTTTAAAAAGACCTTAAAAAATCATAGAATATATTTAGTTTGATCACATTTTACTTTATTTAGGAAAACTTTATACATAAATGTAAACAAGAATATAACAACAAATAAAACTTTACTATATTATTTAAAATTATTTCACTTTCATCAAACCTTGTTATACCATTTATTTTATCATAAAAAGATAATGAATCTTCAAACTCAGTCTTTTCCTCCAGGATATTCAATGCAGATAAAGACTTTTTGATTTAAGAAATTAGACATGGTATATCTGGTACCATGGTATCCATAAATACTGCATATTAAAAATTTAAAAGAAAAAAAAATTAGAACAGAGTGAAATGTACTATTTTGAAATTTTACTGCTGTACTATTTTGAAAAATGAAAGTCATCTTTTATTAACATATGTGTTTCACTTATAGGCTTAAAACTTGATAACAGTTCATCGTAACAAGAAATTGCAGCAATGCTTCTCTCGAAGTCTTTTTTAGCAGTCATGACGCACTTGCCTCAGAAACAAAGGATTCGTGGTTCAAACACCACTTCTGGGCAAGTTTTTCATTATCGGTTAGAAAGGAGGCGTGAACTTCTAATTAAAGGCTCATCTGATAAGACAGTAAAGACTTCTTGGGGCACCTAAAGAAAAATGTATAATTTATTAACCTGTCAAAAATAAATGCACATTTTTTAACTTTTTGAAAAGAAGTTATCTGGTTTTAATTAGCGAAAAAAAGGTTAAATAAAAACAGATGACTTGCATTCGGCAACTTTTTACACAGTAATATCAGGACTAGCTTCTCTAAGGTGCTAACAATTGTGATACGTTGCACCTTTTGTTCTAAAATTGATATTAAAAAACAAATATAAAAGATTGCGCACTCTAATCTTTTATATAGACTTACATTGAAGTATTTAGTTAAGAATATTAGATATATAAGCAATTTTTGAAAAATTATTAAAAAGTTTGCACACATGAGCTAAATTTAAAAAAACAACCTGATTCTTGAAGTTTAGAACTTGAAGTCTCTGAATCACTTTATGCATGCATCTTACAACTCTTTTGTTCTTTAATCAAGATTTAGGTTTGCCAATATTTATAGTTACCATTCTTTATTTTCCAGATTTTCAAAAAACAATTACATTCAATCCAAAACACATTATTCAGCAACCAAATTCTCAATTGCAAATCGAGGTCCTAAGCTGTGGAATACAATATTAAATAATGAGCTGAAATCTAATTATTCTTTAAACCAGTTTAAAACAAAACTTAAGCAATTACTGATGATACATGAAAATGAATTAAAGTTCTTCTAAAAAGCTTTTTAAAACAAAAAGCAAAACAAAAAGCAAACAAAAACAAAAATTAACCTACTAATTACTCTTTAATATTATATTTAATATTCTAAACAATAGTCTGCTATTGTAAATGTATTTCTTATCTTATAAGTTCTGAATTTACAAACGATTTTTTAAGTTTTATTATTTGAAATACTAATTACTAAAAATATTGTAAAATTTTATATTTTCAATTTTTATTAAAAAAAGTTATTGTAAATTCTTTTTGTAATATTAATACTTATATATCATCTTATTTTACTAATCAGTTCTTAAATATAAATACTCTTTGAATTACTAAATATTTTAAACGTTATATATTTTATTTTTTACATTTTGTTAAATATTTTATTTGATGAATATGCATTTTTTTGGGGGGGCTTAATGATAAGATGAATTTTGTCTTCTTCAAGCCCCAGTCATGTAAATATTTGTTTTTATAAATTACGAGTGTAAATTATTTTCAATCGGCAAATACAATACTGAAAAAAAAAAAAAAAAAAAAATATAAGGTGAAATAAATATCTCTCTAATGTTTTACCTTACGTTCAGTCGGAATCTTAATTTTATTTATAATCTGTTACTACTGAATAGAGCCTTCTATTTAAACTAAAAAAAAAAGTTCAATATTATGTATACGAACTTATTTCTACTAGAGGTTCTACTTGTATATATAATATAGAGCAAATGCTAGCTGGAGTAGAAATAAGTTAGATTTAGCTTTATGTATTTATTAATAGATTTATTTATGAAATGTTTCTAACCTAAACTTACTTTGTTTTAGGTTATGGTTATCATTTAATTGTAACTATATGTTACTTAAAATTGAGAATGGTAGTTTAACTTTTTCAGTATATTAAAAAAAAAAAAATTACAAAATAAAGTAAAACTATTTATAACGTTGTTAAAATTAATGGAGTTTCTATATATTTTCAAAATAAATTAAAACATCAGGGTTTCCAAACTGATAGCGATACCAGCAAAAATAAAATTGCAACACTCCGAAAGAAAAATTTAAATGAGCGTATAACTCAGTTTCAATCAGTTGCAAAAGCTCTAATTGACAGTGGGATTCGTTACTGCCAGGCATCAACAATTGTTCATCTGTACAATACATTAACAGTGCGGAAGCTTATATATGGCTTTGAACTATGTAAATATGATACTAATTTTCTCAGCAAAATAGACGTTGTTGGAAGAGCAGTCTTAAAATTATTTTTTTGTATTTCGAAGTACAGTAAAAATTACATTCATTCTTTTTTTAAAATAGAAGATATCTCAACTATTCTCCATAGGAACAAAGTTAATCTTTATATCAGCCTGCTAAAAAATCAAACTTGTTACTCACTGATAATTAATCAAATACAGGAAACACAGAATAAAAAATCCTTTACAGACGAAGTATTTGATGCATGCAACACACTTGTTTTAAATTTCATACAGTGCATGTTAAATAGCAAAAAAAATTAAACTAATGTTATGCTAATATTGAAAGAAACGTTCCAGTTTTGGAATTTGAAAGGAAAGAGAGAGACGTTTAAAATCTTGATGGAGAAGAATGTTCCTAAAACTCTGTCCCAATAATATGTGGAAAACAAACCGGCTGTTTATAAGCATTTTTATAAGCAATTGCTAACAACTACAAAAGCCGTGTTGTTTTAGCTGATTTTAAATTTATTGTTTGACTATTTAAATATTATTTTACCTGTAATTTACTACCAGGTGATAAAAAGAAAATATAAAATTATTTATAAAAATAAAACTATTGATAAACGGTCTTATCACAGAGCACCGCGGAAGAACATTTACGTGCAAGTTTACGCCTCAACCTTCCCAACCGATGTCGCAAAACTTGTCCTGAGGTGCGGTTTGAACCACGGATCTTACATTTCTGAGGCAAGTGCGCTACCACTGCACCACGGCTGCTTTAATATAAATACTTTAATGTAGTTCAAAAACTACAAAGTGAAAAGTGCTCTGCTTTTCACAAGTTATTATACGATCAAATAATTCTTTGCACTTGAAGATATAGTTAAAGATATAGCGATATTAATTAATATATATATATATATATATATATATATATATATATATATATATATATATATATATATATATATATATATATATATATATACATATATATATATATATATATATAGTATTAAAACTAGCAAGGATCCATTAAATCTACAAAAATAAAATATTGTCTGTGGTATTAAAATACTTTGTGGGCATCATTATTGTGTATAATTGTAACATATATAAATAATACACCTGTATGGAATATAACAAATCATTAATTAAATAGGCAAGGTTTGCATAGTTAGGTGACTTGCAAATAGAATAACAACTTTGTAAAAGTAAACAACTGCAATAACATTAATACCATAATTATAAAAAAATTATAATGTAATTTATTAGAATGACCATCATACTATGAGAAATGCAATAACACAAAAGCAATAATATGATAACTAACCATAAAAACCCATTTTTTTATTTTATTCCATTGATAAATATGTTATATAATGTTAAACAATTGTAATATTAATGTTTGTAAACAAAGTTATGCTTACAGTTAATGTGTTACATGTGCTAAATTTTCTCTTAACTGTTGACTAATGATCAATAAAGTAAACTTAAAAATAATGAAAGCTTACTAAATTAAAATCATATTTCAACTCAAATAACCACACATGGTAGAATCTCATGGTAGAGCTGGAAAAAAACGAGAAAAAGCATATAAAAGACAATGTATATAATGCTCTTAATTAAAATATCAAAGATACAGTACATAACGGTACCAGTTTTGATTAACAATTTACAGGTAAAACTAAAGATAATTAGAGAATAAAAGAATGCAAAAAAATTAGATGTTTAAATTTATAAAGATAATAAAATCTCATGAAAAATAAAATAACAACTAAAATAAAATAAATAATCCTTTTAAATAAATAAAACAATAAAAAATAAAATAATTATATTTTTTAATTTAAAAATTATACAAACTTTCTATTTGAAGAAGATCTTAAAGATACTGAATAAAGATTTGTATATACAGTGTATATACAAACCTTTATTCTGTATCTAATTTACAATGTAAAAAGCACATAAATTCTTCCCTAACATTATAGGAATTGTCTATAAATCTAATTACTAAAGACAATTATTCCAGTCAGAAGCTTCATCAGCAATAACTGAAAAAAATTGATTTTCTTTTATTTCAGAAATCATAATATTTTAGATGTACTTTCCACAACAACTTATTAATTCATTCTGTGAGGAATTAGAAATATAAGATGCATTCTTTGCACAGCTGTTAAGATAAAGTTCAAGAATTTTAAAAGTTCAATAAAATTACCTACTCCACCCACTAAAGAATATTTGCCAATGACCATCACAATGACCTCTGAAAGCTATATCAAGTTGACCTAAGAAAATGATTTTCTCACAAAACAACTTCTTACAATTTAAAGCAATCTCCTTTTCATATTCTTTATTAAAATATCTATATTTTAAATATTTCCATTCATAGTTTTAAAACTGCAAAAAATATGGTCCAGGCATTATAATGTAGAATTTTTACTGCGTGATGATGCTCATAAATATTTCAGCTGAGTGATATTCATAATTATTCCTGTTTTTCCCATGGTAATGTCTATTAAAATTGCTCACAGCATCTGGCCTATATTTGAATGACTGAGAATACAAATTTTTAAATCAAGAAGCTTTTGAAGGGTATTTATATCTAAACAAAACACAACACAAACAAAATGCTCCATCTTCAGAAGGTGAATATCTAAGCCATGAAAATTGTTTTAATAATAAAAGTTTTTAAAGATTGCCCATTTGTTTTTGGAAAAGAAGTTTCATCAGGAAAAAAAACATTTTGAATCAAATTTTATATTTGTAAATCTTTCAAAGTAGAAGCCTTCGAACGAAACAACAAATTGTTAATTTGTTGTTTCGATATCTGATGATGAACATAGAATACAAGGTTCAATATTAAGATTAAACATAAATTTATATTTTAGGAGAGAACTGTTCTATAGTAACACTAAACTCTTGTAGAACACACAGTTGAAAGAGCAAGAACACAAAGAAACACAGACCATAAAATTTCTTTACACATATGAAATGTTTCTTCCTTAACAAGGTCATTAATTTTCCTAAGTCTATAAAATGTGTGGATACAGACACTGCTAACAAATTATCAATTGATGAAAACTCATTTGGATACATTGAGCACAAGCTTAAAAACAATGGATGATTACTGTAAACAGAGGCATTTAAATATAAATCAATTGCTGTCAGTATTCTTAAATCCATTGCCAGACTATCACCACACAGATAAATCCAAAATGAGCTAAAAAAGCAATTATCAGCTGATTCAGCTGAATCATATCTGATCAGATCTGTAGCAGAGCTGTAACTGATCAGAGCTGTAACTGATCACTGTAACTGATCAGAGCTGTAACTGATCACTGTAACTGATTACTGTAACTGATCACTGTAACTGATCACTGTAACTGATCACTGTAACTGATCACTGTAACTGATCAGAGCTGTAACTGATCACTGTAACTGATTACTGTAACTGATCAGAGCTGTAACTGATCACTGTAACTGATTACTGTAACTGATTACTGTAACTGATCACTGTAACTGATCACTGTAACTGATCACTGTAACTGATCACTGTAACTGATTACTGTAACTGATCACTGTAACTGATCACTGTAACTGATTACTGTAACTGATCACTGTAACTGATCACTGTAACTGATCACTGTAACTGATCACTGTAACTGATCACTGTAACTGATCACTGTAACTGATCACTGTAACTGATCAGAGCTGTAACTGATCACTGTAACTGATTACTGTAACTGATCACTGTAACTGATCACTGTAACTGATCACTGTAACTGATCACTGTAACTGATCAGAGCTGTAACTGATCACTGTAACTGATCAATGTAACTGATCACTGTAACTGATCACTGTAACTGATCACTGTAACTGATCACTGTAACTGATCACTGTAACTGATCAGAGCTGTAACTGATCACTGTAACTGATTACTGTAACTGATCACTGTAACTGATCACTGTAACTGATCACTGTAACTGATCACTGTAACTGATCAGAGCTGAAACAGATCTAATCAGATCTGTAAAAAGGGCAATTAAAAATTTTTAAAGTAAAAAAAATTCTACAATAAGCTCAATGGAAAATAAAATTGGATTTAATCATTTATTTACAATAAATCAGTTTGGTAAAAAGTTGAACCAATTAGATCAAGGCAAAAAATGTATTTCATAATATTATTACTATATAAATTTACATCCCCAAATGAACGAACGCAGGGATAATATGTTTACAAATTTTAAATGTAATTTTTTATTTTAGTTGTTAGGATAAATAAAGTAAATCTTACTTCACCGCCTAGTTGTTCTTGACTCCTGAGGAATGTCGTGCTCTACTCTTTATTGACTTATGAACAGTCAACAACTGATAAAAATCTGAATTATGAAGGAGATAAATCTTTACTGACAATTCTTAATAAAGAGTTTGTGAATTTTCAATAAATCCATTTTCAAGCAAATACCTTACAGATTGTAAATGCATGCCATATCAAAAATTATTTAAAAGTTATTTAAAACATTCAAAAAATTATTGTTAAAAAAGGCTTCTTTTAAATTAGTCAGGGGGCAATCATCATATATTTAATTCGACTAACTTGGCCTGAAGTTACGCTACCAAACGACAAAAATAAAACAATTTACAAGTTTTTAAAATCTCGTCAGCCGAATAAAAGGGCCAGATAAAGCCCGTTCTCCATTCAGAACTTTTTGCGCTTTAGAGAAGCGGAAAAGTTCTTTGAGCATGCGCAAACAGTTTTTTTAAACCCGTTCTCCAATCAGAATTTTTTGCGCATGATTAAAGAACTTTTCCGCTCCTCCAAAGCGCAAAAAGTTCTGAATGGAGAACGGGCTTAAGTCGCAAGATTTTTGTTACCAACTTGGCCTTAAGTTACGTTACCGAACAATAAAAATAAAAAAAATTTAAAGGACTTCAATAATTTTTTGAAATCTCGTCAGCCGAATAAACGGGCCAGATAAGTCGCAAGATTTCTTGACTAACTTGGTCCGAAGTTACGCTACCGAAAAAATTACAAGACGGGGCTATTGCGTGCGCATATACTTATCATAGTTTAATTGCTATTGCTGTTTAGATCAAAAAAATAGAGATGTACATCAGTCTGCAGACTGATGATTTTTTAAATTAAAGACATCAATAAAGTTTAATGATAAAAAACAGTGTAAAACAGTGTAAAACCGATGTTTACTCAAGATGGTCACCCATTGATTACCCATGATAAAGAAAAAATTCTGCATGAAGTTGAAGACTTCGACTCTTAAAGAGTTGTAAAAATGATTAGAGATTTCGACACAAGAACAAGAAATCTCAGTAAATGCATCAGCTATCATTATTGATGGAATGGCGTTGGTCAAAATAGTTTATAAAGATAATAACAGTGGTTTTTAAATGTTTGCAATAACCAACTTATAAACAACAAGAATATTCCAAATTTTATTTCGTTCATATGTTTAACGAAAAGATTCTTAAAAAAAAAAAAAAAATACTGTATTAGGAGAATGGGGACAAGAAACCCTATCATCTTAGCCCTTCCCTTCCATAACTTTTGAACACTAAAATATTTTACTATTAAATTTAAAATTTCTCTATGAATATTATTATTGGGACACATTGAAACAATGCAAGCTCTTACCGAATACCTTGCTGAATATACGAAAAATAATATAGGTAGTGCAGTTCGCTTCATTGTAACATATTTAAAAACATCAAAAACAAATATGGAACATCTATCTGCAGAAATGATGAATCATGATCACGAAGAGGCTAATACTCTGTTAATTCTGCATGACATAGACGTTGCAAAAGAAAATCCATTAAAAAAATGTATTGTGCATTCACAAAATACTGAAATTTTTCTACTTTTAGTACATTTTTATCAAGTCCTGCCACGTGTCACAATTTTCCAAACTAGTAAAGGGGATAAGGAACGAGACATCTCGATTTAAAAATGTTATGAAGCAATTTGTTCTAAACAAGAACAAGCTATTTTAGGTATTTTTGTTTATATTTTGTTGTTTCTCATTTCTAATGAAAATAAGGGTCTTCAAGAAATTTTTCATTTCTTTAGGTTTTCACGTTTTTACTGGCTGTGATCAAATTAGACGCTTTTCTAGAAACGCTAAAAAATCATAGTGGAAAGAATTTATAAAAGCTGACGATGGAACCCTAGCTGCTCTATCAAATCTTGGTCAATCAGAAGCTTTACTTGATCTGTTTACAATAAATAATATTGAACGTTTTGTTGTTAGAGTTTACGGTGATAAAAAACGAAGATGTTAATACTCTTTCACAACTTCTTTGGGTCCCTTTCTCTAAATTTCAGTATGACGCTGCACAACTTCCACCAACAATGAATGTCCTTAAGTACCATATATTCCGTAGTCACTTTGTATGTTTAGTGCTTAAACGCTCTAACATGCCCGTACAGTATCTACCATTGCCTGTTGCGTATGGTTGGGAACTAAACAATGGATCTTTTGACCCCATAATGACTGATAACCTTCCAGCACCATTAGCACTTATCGAGTTGAGTGTCTGTCGTTGTAAAGGATACTGTAATAATAAAAGGAGCAAATGTTTGAAAAATAAACTTGCCTATACTGATATATTTAAAGGATGTAAAAATAATAATGTAGACGACCGAAAGGAAAACTATGATTATAAATGTAGATATATAGAGGATGCAATTCAATTCATTCGTATTATGAAATACCAGCTTGTAAGCACGATAATTTTAACATATATTTTTAAAATTTAGAAGGTTTTTGAGTTTAAGAATGAAATCTTAGAATATTTGAAGCTTTTCATTCAATAAATGTCTTTAGTTTTATTTATATTACAAGGTTAATTGACTTGATACTGTCAATTAAAATTTTCAGGGGGTCCTTTTTCTCTTCATTAAACATTGTATATTGTAAATACTATTTTGGTTTACATATGATACTGTTTATATGTTTAAACAATATTAATATTAATATATATACTAGCTCAATTATTTCAGTTTTACTTAATTTATATTTTATCTTGTGGTAATTTTTGTAAATGACCCCGGTTTGATAACTTACATAACGTCCTATATCTTATAAAGTAAAAATTTTCAACATATGCTTTTTATATGGTTTTGAAAGCTTATTTAATGTTCTTTCTAATGGTATAAAATATTTTTAAAATAACGATAATTTTTTTTTTGCTATGGGGGTCTATTACTTCATACCACGTGACACAAACCATAAATAAATGATACCTGTCACTTTTGAAATCCTTTTTATACAAGGATCTCATTTCAACAAAAAGCTTGTTTGTTATACGTATGTGCACACGAAGAGTGTTTTTGAAACATAGTGACCTGCACTAATATATATATATATATATATTACAATTGTCTTTATTTTGCTTGTTAAACTTTATAAAGTTCTGATTACATAACCTTCTGATCTTCTTTTAAATTCTAAGTTTTCATTTTTAAAATACAATATACGCATATATACGGATACCTTTTGTATGTATTTAGTAAATAGTTAAAAAGTAAAACACCCAGCGTTCGCCGTACAATCTAGTCTTCGTCACTTGGTCACTAAAAAACATGCAAAGCAGAAACATTTTGCTGGAAAGTTTTGAAATCTAATTTAAAAAAAAACCTGATGTTCTTTTTTTAACCGACAAAATTTTAACAATTGTAACTTTAAAAATAAACGTCATTATTTTTAAAGAGAAAAAAAAGTTTTTAAAAATCCTTAATGCCTTTAGATAAGCTTTTAGATTATCCATAAAAAAACATGTTTTAATCGAAATATATAATAGTGCTGTACGCTTGAAGACTGATGAGCCCAAACTACGTAGAGTTTGTAACTGTAACAACTGTAACACACAAACATACGAACATAATAAAAGTTAGTGTTTATAATGTTCATCCAATTTGTTTTTGAACTGGTTGATACTGACTACGTTTATTATTTCTTGTTTAAGATTGTACCAGTCGTTTACTATTCTATTGGTGAAAAAATTATGTTGTTTTATATTTACTGTATATTGTCTTCTCAGTTTACTATTTTAACCTCTAGTTGTATATCCGTTATCTAGCATTTCGTATGATTTACGATATCGTATGAAAAATTTATGATATCGTAATCGTTCAAATATTTTAACATTTGTATCAAATAATCCCTTCTTCTTTTGTTCTCCAACAATAGTAAACCCAACTTTTTTAGCCTGTAGTAGTATACGTTTTTTTTCTTTTTCACGCCGTTATTAAGAATATTAATAAAATTATGCAGGAATATTTTATAAACAAAATATAAGTAAATAAATTTGCAAGGGTGGACGTTGGGTGGTAGTGGAAAATACTAGAAGTAAAAAAAACCCTTGCTAGTAATAGCCATCAAAAAAAAAATTATTTAAATTGACTTTTTTGACCTTGTCATTAAGTGTCAACTTTGATATATATCAGTATGCTTATATATAAGCATACCGATATATATCAGTTTACACTTTATGACAACTATATGTTTAACTATATGCTTTAATTTTTTTCATAATTAATATAAATGCAAAAAAACAGGGTTGATTAATTATGTTATGATAGTATGTGTTATGACTTATAAAAAGTTAATATGGCAATTAAAAACGGTGACGACAACTAGCAACCCGACGGGCAAAATAAAAATGCCCGTCGAAAAGTGACTACTTGCAAAGACGGGCAAAAATTTAACTGCTTGTTACATGTCTGTTTTTAAATAAAATTAAACATATAGGTTCAATTTATGAGTTTATGAATGTTTCCTTAAAATTTATGAATATTTATAAACTTTTTACTGTGTCACTGTTAAAAGAATATTAAACTGATCAGTTTCAAGCTGAAGATGAAAATTCATTCAGCCGCAGTCCCTAATTATTCATGTTAATTTTCTATTTGCAGACTATATTATCAGTTTTTAAACAAATTTGAAACCAATCTTACATTCTAGTGGCTACTAAATTTAAGTTTATGTTGTATAAATTTCAAATATTTTATTTAACTAATCAAATTAAAGATGACTAAAAAAATCTTAAATGAATAATAGAGATTGATATACAAATGAAGATATAGCGAACTTTGTTGCAGATGTAAAGAGATAAGTTAAATTATTTTTGACTTCACAGCATGTTGCTATTTATTAACATTCACTATCTTATAAACTTGGTTATGAGTTTTGCGGCCAAGGTAACTTATTTTATTTATTATTTTTAGTAACTTATTTTGTTTATTATTTTTACAGGGCTTTAAAAAGCGAAACTGCAGTTGGAAAAAAGTGCAGTGGTTTTTGCTTTAAACCACTGCACTTTTTTAAGAACTAGAAGAAGCGAGTGTTAGTTAACTATATAAGCAGTGCACAAAGGAGAGCGCATCCTGTTTAGAGGTGTACAGGATACAACTTTTTACACACCCGGCCGTTTGTAAAAAGTTATATCCGGTGGCCGATTATAACTTTTATTGATTTATTAATTTGAAATAAAGTAAGTATACAGTTATGGGAGGAAGCATTATCTAAAAGTGTACAAACATTATCTAAAAGGATACAATTGTGTATCAAGGGATAGGAGAGCAAATTTGTAAAGATTTTTATTTTAAAAAAAGACGAAGAATTTATTGAGTTAAAATATCAATACCAAAAT